TTAAAACAAGACATAAAGGGGAACTACTCAAGCATAACATTGCAACAAGAAAGAGTAACTAGTCAAGAACAGCATAAAAACAGGAAAGAGGATATAACTATACACAACATAACATCTAGTGAGAGAAACGTATCACACATAACATGATAATAAAGAGGAACCACCTACTCACACACAACATAACAACAAGAGAGAGAAACTTATCACATACAACATGACAGCAACAACAAAGAGAAACTATCTTCTCACAACCATGTCCTGGATCCATGGATCCATGTCTCTTGTACTGCTTAGCAAGCTTAAAAGTCACAGATAACTTTGACACTTAACTCGTGTAGGGCAAGGAGATCTCCCAAACCATGTTAACATGAGCACAATTAAGTAACATTAAACAGGCCAGAGAAAAAAGCACACACACACACACAAATCGTGTAAAGTTGAACTTAAAGTTTCCGTGAAAATATTGTCTCTCCACCCACCTGCCAAAGCGAGGTTTTTGAATCTGTCGGAATTTGCATGGTGCATGGCTTCCACGAAATCACTAAGTAAAGAGTGATATTGCTTTGGTCATAAATCTTTCTATCGGTTTGGTATCTGGAGTTGCCTAACAATGATGTCATGGCTAAGCTCCATTTGACGTCACTCAGTCTGACATCTTGTCTAGGTGCACTTTTTGGTTTCCAGGCAACACTTCCATAGGACCAGTTTTGGTCGACGTTGTTTTGACTGTTTTTACAGTTGTTTTGGCTATCCAAAAAATGCTTTTGTCGATTAATTTTGATGGCAAAACTATTTTACAGAGAACTTTGAAGTAATTTGGACCACTACAGCTTGATAGGTGGCAGGATATGTTTGTTATTCGGAAGTGTGTTTCAATTCGGCTTTTTAACATCAAAACCTTGCTTTTCCCTGAAATCTGTACCTTTGAATTCATGTTACACCAAGGCAAACCCACTATGAATTGGTTCTTTCCCTGCCAATCAATGTGACCAGTGGGTCAAAAGTGAATGATGCTGAATCAAAGACTGGCCAAGTTCAGCTCCTTACATCAATGAGCTGTTAAGCCTGAGAGTGAATTAACACCAAAATAATGCAAAATTGATTTGAAATACTCGTTTAAGCTAATTTCCCTCAAACATATCTTTGAATTTATTCATTTAGCTTTCAGTGTGGTCTTTTCCATGGCTTGTTTTGCTGTTTCAAAATTTGCGATCTGGAGAGCCAACATAGCGCTGTCATTAGACGCACTGGAGGCCATTTCAGGAAATGATGTGGTGGCACTTCTTACTCCAGCTGTGGCCGTGTCTTTACTTCTGGTTAAATTTGCACCAGAAGCCAGGCCCATCCGCCATTGTCTTCCTCTATCTTCTTTGGTTTCACGTTGTGTGTTCTTCTTTGCTAAGACCTGGTCATGTGATGTGCAGGGCGCACAGGAACAATAATTATTACCTTATGGATAGACTCTTTTGTGCCCTTTAGCTCTATTTTGCCATGAAATCTGCACTTCCCACAAGTCCTTCTAGACATAGTTGTGTTTAATAGCGAAGTGAAGCCTATGCAATATGCAATGTTTTCAAAGCTCACAGCACAGTGTTTCCTGGTCCTCTTTATATATGGTGTTTGTTGTGAAATTGTGAAATGCCTTAATTTGCTGTCGTCTTTCGCACATGCATTGTCCAACTTGACAAAGGGGTACCTAATAGACCTTTTTACCGATACGTCAGCCACATTTAATTAATTAGAATTAAGGAGTATAATGGAAGGCCCTGGGGGCACTCGCTTAGTATTTACATGTGCTTTTCGGGCAAAAAGAGAACTTCACTGTCTATTTCTTGGGAAAAAGGGGATCATTACATCTAGCCTGAATTTCAGATGATTACTTTTTACTCCCTCAGTACATCTGAATTGACCGGCTGTTAATGCCATCTAGTGGCATCACTACTCCTTTGCTTTAATCCATGCAAAAAGTAAAACACGTAAGGCACACAATACATGCTAACATAAACAAGGCAAGTAGACAAGTGAATTGAGGCAAATGTCTGTAAATGCTGGTGACAGAAGTCCACTTCGCAGGTTTTGCATTGCTTTGCCTCTGCAGGAAGAAGGCAAATGACAAACGGATTATTATTGTGATGCAACTCTGTATAAACATCATTAGTGTTGCTTTGAGGAACTTCAGCTGCTGTGCTCTGTTGCTTTGAGGGACAATATTTGTTTATATTTCTGCGTCCCTTTTTCCCTGCACTCTTTGGGAACTTTGGATTTCTGCATGACAAAGTTCAAGTGTTCTTNCTAGCCTGAATTTCAGATGATTACTTTTTACTCCCTCAGTACATCTGAATTGACCGGCTGTTAATGCCATCTAGTGGCATCACTACTCCTTTGCTTTAATCCATGCAAAAAGTAAAACACGTAAGGCACACAATACATGCTAACATAAACAAGGCAAGTAGACAAGTGAATTGAGGCAAATGTCTGTAAATGCTGGTGACAGAAGTCCACTTCGCAGGTTTTGCATTGCTTTGCCTCTGCAGGAAGAAGGCAAATGACAAACGGATTATTATTGTGATGCAACTCTGTATAAACATCATTAGTGTTGCTTTGAGGAACTTCAGCTGCTGTGCTCTGTTGCTTTGAGGGACAATATTTGTTTATATTTCTGCGTCCCTTTTTCCCTGCACTCTTTGGGAACTTTGGATTTCTGCATGACAAAGTTCAAGTGTTCTTCAAGGCACTCTTTCAACTGAGGGACTGCAATGGAATGCTTACAAATGTTATCAAATTTGTAGCTGGGACAGTTGCAAGATACAAAATTTGTGTTAACTGTACACTGTACTCTCCCGTTCTTGCCATGGATTGCAGCGACTTTGAATTTATTACTGGTTGGTTGTAAGGTTGGCTGCTCCTTGATATTTTTTTTTTTAATGTAATTTTACGTTTATTGACAAAACACATATTACAGTTGCAAAATTTAAAACTAAAAAAAAGTATATAACGATATTACACAGATTGGATCAAAACTACATAAAAATGAGAAAGAATAATACAACAGTAAGTTGTAGTAATACGCACAATAACGTTAGACCTGCTAATTAACAGATTATTCCAGTAAGATGGATACAACATACTGTGTTTACTTATACCGTTACTGTAGGATCAGGGGTATGGGGAAAAAAAATAACCAAGAGAGGATCTGTTAATTAACTGGCCGATGATTAGGACAATAACTACAAAAGCATATACATAAATAAACAGGAAACAAGATCGGGGACATAAAGTACTTATAACAGAAACAGAAAGCAACGTTACATTGGAAGCAACCTCTTGCATGCTAGATTTCTTTCGATGCCCTTCCCCTGTACCAGCAGTGGATTCTTACTGATGATCCTGAAGGTGAAGTCTTAACAAAAATCTTACCATCGATTGTCCACACACTAACGAGCAGTCCATTTTTCCTCATACCATTTGCTTTTTTGACAACACTACGTCGGTAGGCTGTGAGGTTTTCGTTTAAGAAGATACGATTTCCTTGTCCTAGTGAAGTAGCATAATTTGACGTGGGAAACAAAAGACTGGATTATAAAGACTGGATTAAACCTTGTGGCTCAGGAATTTGACAATAATTGGTTTGTTTTGTTATTTGAGCTGGTGAGAAATTTTGATGTCACCCGGAGAGATCGGCACATCCAATACCTCTCCTATCTTTAAAATAACATCCTCGGTTGTGGTATAAGCTTCTTGAGGGATGCCGCGGATTTCTAGAGAGTTTTTACGCGTATATTGCTCCAACTCTTCCAAGTCAAAGTCAATTCTATCTTTTTCCTCGGTGACTGTTTGCAATTTCTGCTTGGTAAATTGGAGCTCCTTTTTTAGCTCTGCATTCTCTTTTGAAGTTTGTTCCAACGTGGAGTCCAGCTTCTTCCACTTTAGCATTTCGTCTTTGAGAGTTGTTTTTAAATGCATTACTTCCTCTCTTAGGCTAAGATTCTCCTGTTTCATCGTCCATAAGGTTTCTTGAATATTGGATAGCATCCCTTTTAGTTCAGTTAGACTCGTCTCAGGTTCAGGGCTGTCGTGGGAAGGAGAAGAAGGAGAAGCCGTTGCGTTGCTGGAGTCCGCCATGTTTGGACGTTTCGCGTCGTTCGTTTCGTCTTCTTCAACAGATCCTCTGGCTCCTCGTTTGTTTGTTTTTACCACTTTTCGTCATTTACACTAGGTTGATTATAATATCATGTAAAATTCTACCTTCATTTCTCACAGTTCCAGGCACATTTAGGAAGGGAGCGCTCCGCTTCAAAATACACGTCCGAACCGTTTGCACTCACGCATGCTCTCTGCTCCTTTATGGCAAATGGGTGGTTAAGTAAAAGAAGCGCACTTTCTACAACATGTCTTGCCGTGACAGTCTTGTATCTCATATTTTGTTCTAGAAAGTGGGCCACATCCACAGACAACTTGGTAAATTATTTCTCCGGTAACTGCTGTGGCTGTACATCAGGCTCACGGATGCATTTTCCATTCATTGCTTCCTCCACGGACATTTTATTCATGTCTGAGACATATTTCTCTCGTCCTTCTGTATTCCAGCCAAACCACTTGTCGGGCGAGACAGCCAAGTGAGACACAAACTCGGAAAGCTCATATTCTTCGCTTATTCCAGCGATGGCCAAACGAAGCTCCTTGCTGTTTCAGATTAATTTCTTCGAACACCGAGGTTGTAAATTCTAGCTTGGTCAAGCTATTTTCCTTACCATCCATCACCGAGACAACACCCTTCTTAAAAGTGGACATCACATGATGTTCACGCAAATGAAGTATATTCAAAAATTGTACACCACCATCGCTAGTTCATTAGTCCTTTTGTCCACATGGTTCATGGATTCAGATGGTTTGGTGTATGATCTGATTGGTTTTCCGTCAGGACCGTCTTTCAACCCAGCTTGGCGTCGGACTTTGGCAACTATGTTATCCTTCATCATCTTGTAGTTTGATACCAGGTATTTCCAGAACTTGCATTGGTATGCATCATCTTTGGCAAGCACGGCTCTCTCTTCCCTGTCTAGCTCTCTTCGCTGTCTAGCTTGGGTCTTCGTTTTAGTCCATGCAGTCTTCGTTTTAGTCCATGTGGTCTTCGTGTTAGTCCAAGGGGTCTTTGTTTTAGTCCATGGAGTCTTCGTTTTAGTCCAAGGGGTCTTTGTTTTAGTCCATGAGGTCTTCGTTTCAGTCCATGGGGTCTTCGTTTTAGTCCATGGGGTCTTCATTTTAGTCCATGGGGTCTTCGTTTTAGTCCATGGGGTCTTTGTTTTAGTCCATGGGGTCTTTGTTTCAGCCATGGGGTCTTCGTTCTAGTCCATGGGGTCTTTGTTTTAGTCCATGGGGTCTTTGTTTCAGCCATGGCGTCTTCGTTCTAGTCCATGGGGTCTTTGTTTTAGTCAATGGGGTCTTAGGTCTTCGTTTTAGAAACATCCGGCAATTGTGTCCAATCACAAAAACATCACTTTTTCTCTTTTCTGTTGTTGTTTGATCATAAAACTGTGTTGCCAAGTATGTGGAATTGTTCCAATAAAAAGCAACTTTGAGCCAAATTGTCAGTAACAATACCCATCTGGCTGGATGTCTTTCCAGGAAAGGAGGAAATTTTATCTGGAAATAGCAGTAGCTGAAGAGTGAAATTGGTAGTGGGTTTTTCCCTAAATTCTTTTGGTTTTTTGTGTGTAACTTTAGCAGGATTAGTTCGAATTCCTAAAGTGAGGTATCTGTGCGGAGATCTATCATTCTTGAATTTGTTACTTACGGTTTGGCATATTTACGGCATATTTACCACAAGTTTGTTATTGTGGGGAAAATTAAGAGTCCACATTTTCAAGTAGTAACAAGTTTTCCATCAAACTTTCAATGCTTTCTTTGTTTTTGAAAACATCTTGTTATAGAAACTTGCTTACTATCTTTGGGAAGGCTTTCACTGGGTAGTGTTGGTCATCTTTTTCAAGATGAAAGTTCACTTTAAAAACATTGGCCTGTTGCAGTTCAAGGAGCAAATAAGTTTAGAGCCAGGATTTTTGGTTATTTTCTTTTGGCAATATCTGTAGTTGCAAATGAGATGTGCATGTGAATATTCATTCTTTATTTGTCGACAACAAATGCCATTTGGTTTGTTGTATGCCTCTCGGCTGGCGTAATTACTGTGGTATGCAATGTTGTAGCAGGCTGTTTTCCCAAATATTGCTTCAGTTTGCAGTTTGTTACAGTGTAAAAACTACCATGATCAAATTGTTGTATGAGGTGATCTCAAATTGAGATGTCAGTGGTTCTTATGAGTCAGCAATTTCCCATCAGCATCCTGCACTTTTTAAATGGCATTATATTCTAATTAGCAGAGTCATTCTCAGTGTGAGATTGTGTCCCAAGGTTATGAGCAATCTGTAGTGATTGTGAAGGAATATTGTTTTTCTGACTTGTTTGAAATTTACAACAGCAAGGTTCTAAATGTTGCACTCTTTGTCTGGGAGTGGTCTATTGGAGTGAAACCCCAAACAGAACGATGGAATCCTGTAATAGTTTAAATCGAGCCAGCAGATAATTCTTCATTATTCAATCTGAAAATTTAAAGGTTACAATGTATGTAAAGAAAATGAAAACATCTTTTCAAAACAATCTAAAATGTTTTATTACAAGGATTAGCTATTGAAGCGTAATTAATTGTATCTGTTCTATTCTGTAAACGCTAAGATACCAACACGAGATATCAAATAACTATCTCACTCCAGTTCTTTGGTTTAATCACATCAACAGGAACAACTTTCTACAGACATTATTGTCTTCTTCAATCTCGCACTTGTTTTACAATCCCATGATCCTTCACATTTCCAGTTCTAGACCATTACATCATTAGCAACTATTTCAGCATGGATTGTCACGCTATTCAAAAACAACTATCACGGAGGTTTCTATGTGTTTTCCTAAACTTAGAAAGTTTGCAAATCTTAAATGTTCTTAGATCTTAAATCTTTCTGCTTTCAACAGTATCAACCATGCAGTAAATCAATTCAGTTTTGTTGATGAGTAAATGCAACTAGAAATCCAAGATCTATACATCAGTTTAACTAACCAAAATGAACTTACTTCATGCCTGGATTCCAGCGTTGACAGATCCATAAAACCAGTGAAACCTACAAATCTGCAATCATTCCGTACTAAATTTAGTAACATTTAATGTTTTCATAAGAAAAAGCTGATCCTATTACATCAGTAAAATCATAAAGACTAATGTCACTTCCTCAGAAACTGTCATGCAACAAAACGGGGAGAAAATGCAAACTCCTATGATGGATTTATGTTGATACCCTTGAGAACAAGAACTAGAACAAGGAATAACAATCCCAGGGCTGATGATGGATATTATGAAGCAGTTGCACACAGTGTTCATAATGCAACCGTAAAGTTCATAATGGAGTCAGACAATGTTTCAGGAGAAATAACACATGGCTATTTCGCTTTTCCCGCGTGTATCACATTATTTTGGTAATTCTCACAGTGTGATTCACTGTGGTGACTCTACGATTCTTCACCATTGTAGTTGGAGTTTTTGGACAGGCACTTGCATGTTGGGCATGCTGGTAGCCAGGTTGGCCTGGGTCTCTTTGTCAGACAGTTGGCTCTTGTTGCCAGACATTGGATTGATATCAGAGAGTGTTTTCTAGGTGACGATTTCCTCTTCATCTTCATCTTTGTCTTCTTGTTGTTGCATGTCCCACAGATAGTCAGTTGTTGAGGTCAATTGGTATTCCTCATTCTCTCTAGTACTTCGCACTTTGGGAAGATCTTGAAGGAGATCTTCTAGGTAATTGGTCTGCGCAAACTGAGCGACACCTTTTGGAGTGTAGGCAGGTTGGGTAATAAGGATGCTTTTTAGAAATTGATTGTCAGGTGTATTTGAAAACCTTTACTTGAATTTGCAGAGTTTTCCAAATGTCTAAATTCATTGTGTTTGACAGGTGTGAATTCATGAGTTGCCAATGGAGTACTCAGAGGCATCTCTTTCCAGGGACGAACACAATGTAGCACCCAGGCTTTACAAATTGTGATGGCATATGCAGGGGTACATGGAAAGACTGCTTTTCTTGTTGTATTGTTGGTTTCCATTAACACAGAAAATGTGGTGTATAATGACATCATTTGCTGTGCAGCTTCATGGTAAGCAGTAACGAGGGTCTAATCAGTTTACTTTTGTAGTGCTCCAGATTTTGGCATCACTAGCTCAATCTTTTGGCAGTATAAATTTTTACTTTTGAAAGTCATTCAGTTGCTACTGATTGGGGCGACCATAGCTAATGTGGTTAAGAAAGGTAGCATATGAAGGATGGTTGTATTGGAATTGTTGCATTAATGTTTGCTGTTCACTTTTGATATTGAATGCGCCATCAATGAGTATGTGGATGCCTTGCTTTACTCTCCGTTATGCCATCTGTAATGGAGGTTGTTCTCTAGAATTGCCTGCCAGGATTAACATGGGTCTTTGTGGTAACTTGCGTAAGGTGTTAAGCATATCCTGGAACATCAAAGACCCCATTGAGATAATGGCAAATGGATTGCTGGGGCAAGTGAAACAGGACAGCTTGGATTTTTAGTATTCAGTACAACAAGTAATGGAGTAATCTAAAGCTGTTGGCAAAATAACAATCATTAGGTAAACTTGAATGGTTTGGGACGAATTAAAGAAACTCACCAAAACAAACCGCGAAAAAAAAAAAGTAAATATTCACATTTATCTAAGCTTGCCGAAAATTACAAAAAAGAAAACATCTTTATCAAATACAAATACAATGAAAAATTGCAAAACTCACTAGAATAATGCATAAGTTTAAATGGAACTTGATACATAGTTTAGGTCATGTTGTAAACTTTGATTGTCTAGTTCCAGTTCTCTCTCACTTATCGTGAAACAGCAAACAAGGAAATGCTTTCCTACTGGTGTATGTTCTGGAACATCAGCATCATTCATGTCAATATTACAAACTGCAAAACAAGCTGTATTCAGTGCAGAGAAGCTTAATCCACTCTAGAAAACAGAAAACAGAGGACAGCCTTTATAGTGGGATGCAATGGATCATGTGACCCTTCACTGCAAAATTGCTTTTGTTTTAGTCCATGGGGTCTTTGTTTCAGCCATGGGGTCTTCGTTCTAGTCCATGGGGTCTTTGTTTTAGTCCATGGGGTCTTCGTTTTAGTCCATGGGGTCTTTGTTTTAGTCCATGGGGTCTTTGTTTCAGCCATGGCGTCTTCGTTCTAGTCCATGGGGTCTTTGTTTTAGTCAATGGGGTCTTAGGTCTTCGTTTTAGAAACATCCGGCAATTGTGTCCAATCACAAAAACATCACTTTTTCTCTTTTCTGTTGTTGTTTGATCATAAAACTGTGTTG